CATGCTCTGTCTCTGTCTCAAAAATAAATTAAAAAAAAAAAACAAAAAACAAAACCAGGCAGAACTGGGGTTAAGTCAGACAAATACCAATGAGTGCTAACCCACCAGAATGAACACGAGCTAAAGAAACAGGTCCTGGGCTCACTTCTTATGGTTTCTGATCAGGGACCCCAAATGAGGCAAGAGTTCAAAAACTTTTCTCCTGCAAATCAGCCTTCTGGGCAGCAGCACAATGTGCCAACAGGTTTGCTCCACTGCCCGGAGGTCCCTACTCGCACCTTCACCTTTTGGTGTGCAGCTTTTACTACAGCTGACTGACCACCAGAACTCAGTGCTTGGGCAAATTCTCCTTCTCCTTGAAGCAGGGCTTCTTCCGTGCTGGTCAGGGAGCCAGCTGCATCAGAATCACCTTGAAATTAAATAGAGATTCTCAAATACTACCCCCAGAAATTGTATACTTAGTAGATCTGGGGTGGGGCCCAGAAAATTTATATTTAAAAAAATATTTCCCCACGTACAAACTGTATAAGCATTTTTTATTGTCTACCTTGAAAATTCAAGCACAAAAAAATGCACATACCCTTTGAGACCCCCACCACTGGGAACATCTATGTTTATGAAATTTTATCAAGATATGTGGACAAGGATGTTCCCTGCATTTGTATTTATAATAGCAGAGAATTGGGAACAACCAACACATCCATCAATGACAGTGATTACACAATTTTAGCATATCCAACAGAATGTTCTATGGAATACTAGACAACTATAAAAAAGAGTGAAACACTGTGCCGACAGCTCAGAGCCTGGAGCCTGCTTCAGATTCTGTGTCTCCCTCTCTCTCTGCCCCTTCCCCATTCATGCTGTCTCTCTCTGTCTCTCAAAAATGAATAAACATTAAAAACAAAAAAATTAAAAAAAAAAGAGTGAAACAATCTCCCAGGATACACTAAAAATTTTTAAACTTAATAAATCAAGGGGCAAAAGAGTGCTACAGTTTAAAACACAATTCCTAGTATGTTTTAAACGTGTATACATACACATGTACAAATACATATACATATTTATATCAATAGATGATAGCAATATGCTGACATATGCAGAAAAATATTGGAGGCAAAATTCCCCTGCCTTTGAGTAGGAGAAGGAGTCCAGGGACAGGAGCACTTTCACTTTCAGTACTATTTGCATTTTCCAACCTATTGCTTTAATTTTACTTTTTAATGTCAGTGGAGGATTGTCTGGGTCATGGAACTGCGGACTATCTTTATTACTTCTTCTGTTTTAATACTCTAAGAAACAAACGTAAAGGTCACCAGGTGATTCTGATGTGTACTCAGATTCGGGAAGCACCGAGACCCTGGGCACCTCCAGGTCATGCGAACATTACACCTGACAGACCTCAGCAAGTGGACTGGAAGTACAAAAAGGGCACTGGTGACAGGAGAGGACCCCAGCATATCCTGGCACGGGTTACAGGGTTGAGGCAGGCTTCAGGCTTTAAGGATCCTAAAGCAGAAGGTCATTTCTGAAGCTTTTCCCAACCAGCAGACAGAGTGAGGGGCAGACAGGGTAAACCTCTCAGCCAGACACTAGCAAGTGTCCCTTCAGGACACAGGACATGAAAATTACAGGAAGAGGGGATGAGACATACACATCAGCAGAAAAAAGAAAACATTAAACCATGATACACTGCTTACAGACAACCCAAAGGACAAAGAACAGAACAAACACAGATCAGTGATTGTCTCCTCAGCCCTTAGGGTCAAGAATCCAGAGTCCTTTGTGAAACGATCATCTTGAAGCTTTCATGAGGCTCAATAGAACCAGACGTTTCACGGAATAACCAGTGGGCTAAGAAGACTCTATGAAGGTGCAGGTTTCCAGATGGGGGACGTTTCACTTGGACAATATCGTAGAAGAGGGTAACAGAGTTAAAAGCACCAAAACGGATGCATCAGAAGCACATCCTAAATATGCTAAGACTAACAGAAAGAAGGGCACGTGGAAAGAATGTCAATAAATGGATAGTATGTGGTTTGTGAACTTAAAACATTTCTCAAAGGAGAGAGTAAATCCCTGTTTGAAAATAATTTTAAACAGTAACATTAAACTATCTTCTGATCCAAAATATCAGCCCTTTTTAGATTAGTTCTAGAAGGGTTACAGCAGTTTTCTAGGTTTAAAATGATCAGAAACACCTAATGAAGGAAAGAGCTATCCATCTAAATATTTCATTTTCTTATAAAGGAGTATGATGCCACTAGATCATAAGAGTACATGTGTGATTACTGCTGGTGAGATTTTTTAAAATCTTACTGATTACCTAGAATACACCGAGCTAAGTTGATATTAGCACATTAAAACAGTTTGGTTAAGAGATGTTTTTCAGGAAAAATATTGAAATACTTAACATTCAAAGTGCTGTTGCTGAATCATGAGTTAGTATTTGAAGAAGGAAAGTCGAAACAGATGACTTTGGTTATTGTACCAGATGCAGAAGACACACGAGACACATGGCGGAGTGGAGGTCTCAGTGGAACAGCTGAGGACATGAGGGCTTCTGAGTCTCTCGCAAAAAAGTAGACATGTATAAGCTCTGACTGGCAGGAGAGTAAGTCGTAGCTAAAATGGACCAAATGTCCAAGCATCACTCCGAAGCAGAAGTTTAAAGAGCAGGGAGATTTATTCAAGAATCACAGAAATGTTCTTGCTCCATGCAGAAAAAGCATCTAATACGTGGTCACAAAATACATCCCATTAAGATGATGGGATTCTGAGAGGGTACAACCGCCACTTTCCTCCCATAGACATGACTGTACTTACAAATTTGAATAGAAACTTAGTAGACCAGTGATAAAGATGATATTAGAATCTACTCGTAAGAGGTGGAAGTCTTTTCTATCATTGTCCCAATGAGATAAAAGGATGGACTTCCCAAGAGCACACATGTCCCATGCTCTCCATATAACTGAAAAGAATTCTGCTGCACTGTTTGCCACCTCTTTACACAAAATGTGATGGTTTGTCAGTTTTAATTCACTCACTGTTGCAGCCGCTGCTGCCTCTAGTCCCTGCTGGCTCGGGGTTGGGCTGACTGGGGCCTCCACAGGCTGCCCTTCCTGATAGTGAATGGAAGAGAAGAGGAAGGGAGAAAGAAACAAAAGAGGGCGGGAGTGAGGCGGGGAGACGAATGGAGGGTACATGGAAGGATGAAGATGGTCAGAAAAGGGAGAAGGAGGGTCTTGTAACTCAGCTGCTCTCCAACAGGAATAATAATCTAACAGCCGTATGAGAGTCATGCAATAAGATCTTTTGGGTTTTATTAGGCAGTGTAATAAGTAATCATTATTGCATAGCCAGAAATGAAAATTTGGGGTGTGTGTGTGTGTGTGTGTGTGTGTGTGTGTGTGTGTGTATAGAATTCATAAGCACACATACATTGAGTAAACACAAGTTTGTGTGTGGCATTTAAAAAAAAAAAATCTTTTTCCCAGATGTCTCAATTGGTGAAAGTATCATGGTCTCATTTTAAACGAAAATGTCTCAGCGTCAGCCCTGTGGTTGCCCAGGCAAACCACATGAGTGGGTTCACCCACCTGTAGCTCCTGCAGCCCTGATTTGGCTGAGGTTGCATCTAAGCAGGCCCAGACCTGGATTTTGCTGAGCACAGCATGAGCAAAGCATGACCAAGAAAGGCAGAAACTTATGACTTGTTTCCTGTACCTAAGCTACTCAAAGCTGAATCCAGATGTTCGAGCAGCAAATACATGGGTTTAAAAAAAATTTTTTTTTTCATCAGGTCCAATGCACATGCTGGGATATGACACAAGTGCGTTTTAAGAGGATGTAGTCTTATGCACAATTCATTATATCTGATGAGGAACTGCCTTGCTCTCAAGGGGAAAAAAAATCTAGTATCTTTCAGCAACAAAAATACACCCACCAAATGCTTCCTCCTCAAATATTGATGGCGAAGGACCAGTGGTTTAAATAGTAGCATCCAAGGTACACACAGTAGCGCGACCACTACCAGGAAACACTGAATTCCTTTCTACAAAGTAAGGACAAGGCACATCACATTAATCAAACACGCAGTTTCCAACTCTAGCACAAATTTCCCCCAAACAGTATTTTCTTACTGATCTATGAATGACACCATCCAGTTTCTCAAACTAATTAGCAGATATTGTGGCAAAGCCCAAGAATTATCTGATAGGATGCTAAGGAGGATGGGCTGAATTTAGGTCTGAAGGTATGGGCTGAACACCAACACCACAGAAAGAGATTTTTTAAAGGCTTTTGCAGATATCTGGCTTCCTGGGGCACCTGGGTGGCTCAGTCAGTTGAGTATCTGACTTTGGCTCAGATCATGATCTCACAGTTCATGAGTTCAAGCCCCGCATCGGGCTCTCTGATGTCAGCACAGAGCCCGCTTTGATCCTCTGTCCTCCTCTCTCTGAGCCTCCCCCACTTGTGCATGCACGTGCTCTCTCTCTCTCAAAACTAAACAAACATTAAAAAAGAAAAGAAGAGAAATATCTGGCTTCCTGATTGAGGGAACCACCTAAGCCAGTCTACCTCTGGGTTGACTCACCTGTCCAGAATAAAGCATCGCATTACTAGAGTCACCGTAGGAAAAGAGAAACATGTTTATGAAATGAATCAGAAGGCTTGGCGCCTTCTCAGATGTATGAGCATCATAGGCTGTCCACTTGTAAAATATGAGGATAACCAAGTAGCCAAACAAAGAGGTCATGAAGATTATTTCAGGAATAAATCCAAAGTAGATATTCAGGGGTTTCTTGAAATAGCTAAAAAGAGAGAAAAAAAATGTTAAAGGCAAACAGACCCAGGGACGCCTGGTGGCTCAGTCCGTGGATCATGCGGCTCTTGATCTCAAGGTCGTCCGTTCAAGTTTCACATTGGATATAGAGCTTACTTTTAAAAAAATTAAAATTAAAAACAAAACAGTGAACAGACCCAGGGTCACCCCCAGACCAAATGGAGTACTCACTAGATCTCCTACCTACACTTCCCTCAATTCTGTCTTTATCACTTTAAGAAGCAACAGCCAGATGCACTGAAGGCAACGGAGAGAAGCAGCATCAATTGTGACTTCTAAATTTTTGGACCTTGGACAGTTCCAGTACCACCCCCACCCCCACCCCCCACCACCAAACTTTTCCCATCAGAAAGAGACTGGAAAATATAGTACCTTCTGGGACCATAGTTTATAATTTTATGTGAGTTACACATCAAGAGAAAAAAAAAAATACCTCACTCATTTTGATGAAAATGACATAAAGTTTTTCAAAGAGCTTTACTACAATTGTAAATTGTTAAGGGACTAATGCTAATTAAGCCTCATTAAAGAATATGAGATTTTTATAAAAAGCACCTCTTTAATGTAGAATAGGGTTCTGAGTTATTAATCCCTCTCCAAAGATGTCATGATTTCTTTAGGCAAAAGCATTATTTAAATTATGCGTGTTCCTGAGACAGAAATACAGCAACTCACGTATGGTTGAAGAGGCTCAGGCTGACTCCAAACATCATGTGAATGATGCCAAGGATAACAGACATCTTCATTTTAAAGGAGTTGAGAAAGGTCAGTTTATTGGTAGCAATGTTCCAGATCTATCACAATCCAAGGAAACAAAAAAGCATTATAAAGAGTTCATGAATGGGACATTATTATGCACCAATATTAAAAAAATTTTTCGTATTTACTTACTTGGAGACAGAGAGAGTGAGTGTGTGCACACATGTGCATACAAGCAGGGGAGGGGCAGAGAGAAGGAGTGGCAGAATCCCAAGCAGCCTCCACACCATCAGCTCAGAGCCCAATGTGGGGCTCAAACTTACAAACCCTGAGATCATGACCTGAGCCAAGATCAAGAGTCGGACGCTTAACCAACTGCACCACCCAGGTGCCCCTCACCAATTTTTTATTTTTTTAGTTTTTTAATTAAAATTTTTTTAACATTTATTCATTTTTGAGAGACAGAGAGAGAGAGAGACCGCACGTGCGTGCGCATGAGTGGGGGAGGGGCAGACAGAGAGGGAGACAGAATCTGAAGCAGGCACCAGGCTCTGAGCTGTCAGCACAGAGCCCGACACGAGGCTTGAACTCACAGAGGGAGAGATCATGAACTGAGCTGAAGTCGGTTGCTTAACCAACTGAGCCACCCAGGAGCCACCCAATTTTTTTTTTTTAAAGTAAGCTTTATGCCCAAAGTGGGACTTGAAATCATGATCAAGAAAGAGTCATGTGCTCTAACACCTGAGCCAGCCAGGAGCCCTTATTTACCTATTTGAAAGCTTTTTTTAATTATGAAAATTCTAAGCATAGACTTAAGTAGAGAGTATAACAAATTCCCATTTACCTATGATCCAGCTTGCATATTTTTTTTTTTTTTTTTTGAGAGTGAGAGCACACGCTAGTGGGGAAGAGGGGCAGAGGGAGAGAAACATAATCTCAAGTAGGCTCCACACTCAATGCAGAGCCCAACCTAGGGCTTAATCTCATGATCCTGGGATCATGGGACCCAAGCTGAAATCAAGAGTCAGATGCTCAACAGACTGAGCCACCCAGGTGCCCCCCTGAAAAATTACTACTGGCTCAAGGTCAATCTTATTTCATCACACAACCTACTCCCCACTTCCCTATTATTTGGAAGCCAAGTTCAGATATCATACAATTTTAACTGTAAATACTTCAGTACATATCTCTAAAAGGTAAGCACTCGTTTTTATTTTACTTAAAAAATTTTTTTTAATGTTTATTTTTGAGAGACAGAGCGTGAGAGGGTGAGGTACAGAGAGAGAGAGAGGGACAGAGACACAGAATCTGAAGCAGGCTCCAGGCTCCAAGCTGTCAGCACAGAGCCCAACGTGGGGCTTGAACTCACAAACCACGAGATCACGACCTGAGCAAAGTCGGATGCTTAACCAACTGAGCCACCCAGGTGCCCCGGTAAGCACTCATTATCAAAACATAACCACAATGCTGTTATCACCCCCAAAAACATTAACAATGATTCTTTAATACCATGAAACACACACTCAGTATTTAAATTTCCCTGATTGTGCCCCAATTTTTAAAAATAATTCATTTATTCAAAAGTAGGGTACAGATCAGGTCTCTACATTGATTACTGACACAGCTCTTAAATCTCTAATCTATAAATTCTCCTTTCAGCTCTCCTTTTTAATTCCTTACAAAATATTTTAAAAAGTTGGAACATTTATTTTGTAGATGTTTCCCCGGTCTGTGTTTTACTGATCACGTACCCTTAATGCTGTCATTCCATCTATTTTTAAATATTAGTTGCCTTAAGCTTTGTCACCTAAGGGCCTGGACATCTGTAATATTTTCCCGCAGTTCTCTGCTTCTACTTGGCCATCAAATCACATTTCCTAAATCACTGACTCTGATGCAGTCACTTCCCTGTGCCCAAACCTACCTCACACCCCCAGTGTCTTCTCTACGATAAAGTGTGAACTCAGTAACCTGATAAGCCAGACCTTCCACCAGTGAGCCTGGCGTTTTTTCTGAACTGGCCTCCTTGCAAGGAGCTTATCCTCGGTGACTTCTAATCTCAAAACATGTGGCTGGTTCTCTCTCCAGCCCATTTTCCCTGAAATTCAGTTCTACGGCTCCAATTGCCTGATGGACATTTCACCTGTGCATCCCACAGGCACATCAAACTCAACACCTACCCTTAAGTGTCAAATGAGATGTACGTAAAACAACATCAACAACAACGAAACACTCTGTTAACTACAGAACCCTATATAAATGTTACCTAATATTTTTATTAGACTCTAAGCTACTTGAGGCCAGGAGCTACATCTTTCAATTCTGTGTTTCCCCCAGCAAGCACTATGCCTGCAGACAAGGATTCAATAAACATTTGTTAAATGCATGTGTGAAATGTTATCCAACCTTTCCAAGCCTTGGTTTTCTTATCTGCATGATAGGGATAGCAGTATTTCCCTGATAGAATTGTTTGAGGGGAGAGCCCTAGTGTCTGTAAACTGATGAATGGGTAAAGAAGATGTGGTATATATAAATTTTTTTTTCAACGTTTATTTATTTTTTTGGGGACAGAGAGAGACAGAGCATGAACGGGGGAGGGGCAGAGAGAGAGGGAGACACAGAATCGGAAACAGGCTCCAGGCTCTGAGCCATCAGCCCAGAGCCCAACGCGGGGCTCGAACTCAAGGACCGCGAGATCGTGACCTGGCTGAAGTCGGACGCTTAACCGACTACGCCACCCAGGCGCCCCGTATATAAAATGGAGTATTACTGAGCCATCAAAAAGAATGGAAGCTTGCCATCTGCCATGACATGGCTGGAGCCAGAGAGTATTATGCTAAGTGAAGTAAGTCAGAAAGACAAATATTAGATGATTTCACTTGTATGTGGAATTTAGGAAACAAAACTGATGAACATATGGGAAGGGAAGAAAAAAAGAAAGAGGGAAGCAAACTGTAAGAGCCTCTTAAAGACAGAATAAACTGAAGGTTGATGGAGGGAGGTGGGTGGGGGATGGGCTAGACTGTGATGCGTATTAAAGAGGGCACTTATTGGGGTGAGCACTGGGTGTTGTAGGTAAGCGATGAATCCTTAAATTCTACTCCTAAACTAATATCACACTACATGTTAACTAACTAGAATTTAATAAAAATTTGGAAGGGAAAAAAAAAAAGAACCGTTGGAGGGGAAATCAGATATGCTAAGGGCAGAGCTCAGTGCTTGGCCCACAGTAAGCATTTCTGTAACATCTGCTCTTATAATAATAAAAATAAATAACTTTGTATTTCCCCACCTATATGCTTTTGTACACACTTCTCACCTATACCAATCTGAAACATTTTTTAAAGGCCAAGTTAATACCCATTTTTTATAAGAAACCTTGATCTTTCTGACCCATAATGATGTGTTTTTCCTCTGGAATGCTGTACTCCGTAAATCATTCTTAAATCTCCCCCCACCCCCCTTTTAAGCACACAATACAAAAGGTCTGATCACACTTTATTTGCCTAAGTATTTTTTTTTTTTTAATTCTGGGATAAGTTTTTTAAGTATATAAAGATAAGAATGGAAATCTAAAACCCATAGGAAAAGACTATTTCTGCTTTGTTAAAATACCTGCTAAACTAAGTTAAACAGAAATAAATTGGGAAGGAGTCTTGAAAATCAATCTTCCCAGGGTCAAAATTATTAGCCATCTCTGAAATAAGTAGTGCAGGAAAAATTATTTGGGTCCCCAAGGCACTTGGGTCTCTTATGGTTTGGAAGTACTCTGGACAAATACACAAAAGACTTTCCAAAAACATGTCAACTGAAGGGGCGCCTGGGGGGCTCAGTAGGTTACGTGTCCGACTCTCGATTTCGGCTCAGGCAATGATCTCACCATTCGTGGGATTGAGCCCCTGCGCTGACAATGAAGAGCCTGCTTGGGATTCTCTCTCTCCTTCTGTTTCTGTCCCTCTCCTGCTTGCATGTGTGTGCTCTGTCTCTCTCAAAATAAACAAATACACTTAAAAAAAAAAAAAAAACAACCTTCAGCTGAAAACCAAATAACCATTTATCTTCAACTTAATTCTCTCACTTCAAGGTTACAGTTTCAAACTCTGGTGTTAGACATATAGGAAAGAAGTGCTCTTACTGGATCAATGCCAAAAGGGTATGGTCCACCAAAAACTCCAGGGACAGCTGGATTCAACTGTAGAACAGGGTTCCCCCGAAGTGTCTCATCCCTACCATGTTAGAAGAAAAGTTCCATTTGTTTTTATCAAGAGTGGGAAACTGCTAGGGTCCAAAAACTGGTCCTAAAAGAAACTACTACAACTGTCTTGTCTCTTCAATAAAAGAGGAGGGACTAGCATCTAAGAATGAGAAGGGATCAGCAATAACAAAAGAACACAACAAACAAATACACCTACATAACCAAGCAGGGAATGTGGGGAATCTGCTTTTAATTTACAAAAAGAATCAATGTGCCTACATTTATAGTCTCAGTTTCTTGAGAGTACTGAAAGAATCGCAAAACACTTCCCAGGCTGGGGCATAAATAAGAGGGGACACTGCATTCTTCTGAAACAGAGACACTGTCAGCCACTTCTGAAAGAAGTAGAAGTTTACCACTTGTCTGGAAGATCAGAGCTGAACAGGAAAGGAAAAAGCTTTGACTTTCGTCTTCTTTGCAACTTACGTCCAATTATACAAAGAGAACATTGGCCGTACGCTCCAGGATGACCCGAAGATATTAAGAGACTTGGAAAAGCAATCATTGTAGATGAGGCCAGTGTAGATGGAAAACACACCCATCAGTAGAATAATGTACCGGCCACTGAACACAGTGCTAAACATCTGGAAAGCAGAAGAAAGAAGTCAATGAAATGTACTCTCGGTGGCTCATGACGTGACAATATTGAGAATATACTAGACCCTTCTTCTCACACTACTTTACCCCACCCTGGGTCAGAGAGCTTAACGTAAAGGTCAAAATACAATGCTAACAAGAAATTACTTTCACAGCACATGGCCGCTTCAGTGTTAAAATGAATATAACTTCTCTATTCTTGACATGGCCTCTGTAACTTCTCTATAACTTCACGAATAAAAGACTTCCAGATCTTAATTTTATAGTGACTGCTTGAGGAATTACAAAGTGTCAGTCCGACGCAGATGTGACAAACATTACCTCATTCTCGTTCTTCTGGGAGAGAAGCCGGCTCTCCCTTAACACCATCCATACAGCAAAGAGGGTCATCAAAATGCCATGGCCAAAGTCCCCAAACATCACAGCAAACAGGAAAGGGAAAGTGATGATGGTATATGGAGCTATAAAGAAACCAAAGGAGGAAAAAGACAAAGTACAGACAACTGTGCCCACCACCAAAAGATCACATTCCTCACCGTACTCTAAGATCTGTACAAGGGGACTTACTCCCGAGCTGTTGGTCAGATGGACTCTCAGGGAAAACCTTCCATGACAGGACCTCAAAAAGCAGCTCTGATGGCATCTAGGCCTACTGCTAGCATTTTAAACAAAGTACACAGGAAATGCAAGTTTTGTCCCTAGCCCTGGCAACAGTGTAATTTGTTCTTTGATTCCTTTTCTCTAACTCCTGGGACACTGCTCCTTTGACAGGCCAGCTTTCTTCTCTTGTGCAGCAACCATTTCCCAGCTGAATAAAGCTCTCAGGTACGTGGGAGAAAGCCTGGAACCCAGAGCAAAGTCAGTCCTGTAGAAGACTCCAGCTAAAAACGAATTCCCAGACTCTTGATTTAATAATTAACTCTCCTGGCTTTGCTTTGTGAAATCTGCTTTGTGTCTAAAATGGTCAGTAATTGCTATATTTTCTCTGTCTAACCTGGTATAGGGAAGCCTTTTAAAAATATCAGATATCTTAGAAAAAACTTAAAGTACTTCCTGCAAATGGTGTGCTAGAGAAAGTCAGGTGTTTCATAGTTGTGAGGGCACACAAAAGAATCCAATCCGCTGAGCTCATTCCTATAAAACCACCTCTTAGAAGAGTGCCACCCAGCAACAAACCTCCCTCTCTGTGTCAAAGTGGGCACGTCTTTACAGGAATGACACTAGAGCTGAGATCTTGACAACACTGTTAGTTTTAAGCCAGTTATTCAAGAACATTTGAAGGGAAGCATTAGAAGAAATAACAAACAAAAAATCAAACCTCCAGAAGATTCAAGCTCTTTTTACCTGGGTTTATCTCTCTGTAAGTCCCGATTCCGTAAGCATCTACTATGTTCTGAAAGCCGTATGTGAACTTGTTCGTTTTGTTATAGGTTGGGGGAGTCTGATTTGTTTGCATCCTGTTCAAGATAGAGGGCACAGTGGAGCCACTGTGTTCCTGGGAAACATTGAGCACACATAGCAAAATTAGATCATCCTGACCATGAACATATTCATCAAAACTCCTCAAGCTGTACATATAAAATACGTGCATTTTATTCTATGTGAGTTGTTTCTCAATCTTCCCATCTTTGGGAGAAACTGGAACTAGGTATAAAATTTACGATGAAAAATTTACATTAAGTCTTGGGAAGAATATCCTTACTGTGAAAAAAATTCAGTTCTAAAATGTGTAACCAAAGAAAATATGGCACTTCCTTGTCTGAAGACAATCATCTGCCTTTCTGAGATTATCGCTGTTCTCTCCTCCTTTTATGGAGAAAGCAGCCAATCTTTTCAAACTCTAACTACTAAGCGGGACTGCCAGAGGTATCCCTCAGAAGTGGTCTGCTGGACAGAAAGAATGGATCAGGAAACAGACATTGTGGTCATGAGCTACCCTGAAGAATCACGGGTATACGACCAAGTCATTTCATCTTTTTTGAACTGTAGTTTCCACATTCGGAAAACCAAGATGTACAAAATGTATGGTTAGGATATAAGAGGAGTACAAGGTGAGTATAGTCAAGAACTCTGAAAGTAAAAATGTCACAAAAATGTAATTAATTCATGTTATTGTTGACGGGAACCTCTTTTCCTGGCTGCATGGTTAGTGGTGCGGGACTCACCGTGCCCCTTCTGAGTGCAAACTGGATGGAGTCGAGGTCGGTGACAGGGCACCAGACCTCGGCGATCAGGCACTTCTGGGTCACGTCTATGTTGCACAGATTCAGGGTGTGGTAGATGGCCTTCATCTTCCGCACCTTGATGAACCAGACACGGATGTTCTTAGCAGCCGCCTGCAGAACCCTCTGGCGGTGGTCCTCTGTTTGATTCAGAACCTTTTGGGAGACAAGGGAACAAGGAGAGATCCTTCTACATACAGAACCAGTCTTAGATCTCAGCATATAAATGGGAAAGAGGCACAGCTTTCTGAGAAGGGTTGCTAGGGATCTATTCTTCTTCAGACTAGAATGGCTTTTTTTGGGCACCTGAGTGACTCAGTCAGTTGAGCGTCAGACTTCAGCTCAGGTCATGATCTTGCGGTTTGTGGGTTCGAGCCCCACGTCAGGCTCTGTGCTCACAGCTCAGAGCCTAGAGCGCTTCAGATTCTGTCTCCCTCTCTCTCTGCTCCTCCCTGCTTGTGCTCTGTCTCTCTCGCTCTCAAAAAATAAAGAAACGTTAAAAAAAATAGAATGGCTTTTTTGGGGGGTAAATTATAAGAAATTACAGTTTTAGTTACTAATATTCATTTTCTGTTAGCTTCAATCTGAAGAGAAACCTGAGGAAATTGTTTTTAGCTCTTCTATATTTTATCTTCCCACCAAGTCCACAGCACAATATAGGTCATTGGCTTTTACCTGGATCATTAAAGAGCAATGGCTTTCCATATGGAGTCTCAAACTCAAAGAAGTCAGCATCATCATAGGCCTGGGAGTTGATAAAATCCATACTTAAGAACAGTAAGCTGCAGAATCCCCTGAACATAAGCCAGCATCAGGGAATGATGGGAAAGAGGCAGGGCTGAGCACCGTTGTCTACCTATGCCAGAAGAGACTCCATGCCAGGGAACAAGAGACAGGAGACACTGTGGGGTCAGGAGGACTCATGGCCTTAGAGGGGATTTAGACAACCACATACCACTGTTATCATGGGGCAGATGAGGCTTTGCCTTTCTGTCAGGCTTCTTGGGGGAAGGGGAGGGAAACATTTTCAATGCTGATCCTTTGGAAATCAGTACAGGTTTTCCTCAGAGTGATCACGCTGCCGAAACCGAAACCACGGTAGAAGAAAGGGAAGGGACACTTTACATTCCACTGCCTTGGTAATCACCATTTAAGATTTCAATAGCAGAAGAGGGGCTAAGCCAAAGGGCGAGTAACCCATCACTCACACTTCTGTATGGAAACTGACCTTAAATCTCCACATTTCTTTACAGAGGAAAAAGTTATGCACTAGCCATGTTAGCACAAGGCTCCATCATACTCGGCTCATCAAGTCAATTCAGAAAAAAGTAGTAACTACTTTCTGAAGGGCAGTAGGTGGGGACTTCCATACAGGTTTCTAAAAAACCTGCAGGCTAGAGAAACTCTTGTATCACTTAAGAATAAAGGAACAAAGTTATTTTCTCTCCTTCTGGCTGCTGACAATTTTACAATTACCATTCAAACTTCTGGAAGAATGCTAGATAAACGTGTAAGCAATGCCCTATTTGCTTTTCTCTTTCCCCATCCCCCACACCCACATCTCACTCCTTGACAGTCAATTCCTTTTTAAAGTTTCAGTTCATATAGCTGGGTACTTTAAAGATCAAATTCTGGCCATATTGCCAATGCCTTTTTTTTTTTTTTTTTTTTTTTTTTTTTTAATTTTTTTTTTTTTTTTCAACGTTTATTTATTTTTGGGACAGAGAGAGACAGAGCATGAACGGGGGAGGGGCAGAGAGAGAGGGAGACACAGAATCGGAAACAGGCTCCAGGCTCTGAGCCATCAGCCCAGAGCCCGACGCGGGGCTCGAACTCACGGACCGCGAGATCGTGACCTGGTTGAAGTCGGACACTCAACCGACTGCGCCACCCAGGCGCCCCAACCAATGCCTTTTAAAAATCTATCCATGAGTCTAGGAGGGGATAAGACAGGCTTAGAACCCAGAACATACTAATTGGCCCACCACCCACCAGCAGCTCTAAAAACTTTCGTCCCTTGGTTAAAGAGGTGAGTGCTTCTCAAAGGAGCCAGCAATAGGTCAAGATGGTGGGTCATACACTATGGGAGTTGGAGGGAAAAAGGACTAAGGGAGTTGAGATGGGAGTTACAGCATCTCTGGTGATTCTGCCTCCACTGGAAAGAACAGTCTTTGGAATTAAGTACAGAGGGCACCCCTTATCTGTAGGGGACACCATCCAAGACCCCCAGTGGGTGCCTGGAACGGTGAATAGTACCTAACTCTATAAATAGTATGTTTTTTCTTATACACACATACCCATGATGAAATTTAATTTATAAATTAGGCAATTATATTAGGCAATTGACAATAACTAATAATAAAAGTGTAACAACATGCTATAATAAAAGTCCTGTAAACGTGATATCTCTAAATATCTTCCTGTACTGTACTCACCCTTTTTCTTATGAGGATATGAGAGGAAAAGATGCCTACATGAGCATGAGGAGATGAAGTACGGGGAGTGGTGTTAGGTGTGTGACCAGCATTAGGCTACTACTGACCTTCTGATCTTATCAGAAGGAGGATCATCTGTTTCTGAATCACAGTTGATTTGGGTAACTGAAATCTCAGAAAGCAAACGCGTGGGTGGCAGGGGGACAACTGTATGTTTTAATGTTTCAAGAAGGCAATCATCACAGTCTTTCAACAGAAAACAAAGCTCCAACTGGCCACCCTTTCCTTCCACGTATGCATCAATCATGACTCCTTCCTCAGGACTTTGTGACAATGGAGTGCATAAGCCAACTGGTGATGTGGTAAAAATCTAGCGCAGTCTCTTCTTGGGTACTAGAGTTATACTAGGACCCTTTGCCTAGACTGTGTGATTAAGATCTAAGGTGACCAGAAGGATACACACCAAGCTGTCAAGAGCAGCTGCCTCTGGAGGGGGAGTGTGTATGACAGCGGAATGGACTTTATGTGTACTTCTTTATTACTTGATTTTTTTCTTAACTAAGCATACTTTTTTTAATTGTAAAAATACCTCAAACTCATGAGGAGGGAAATTGAATACACTAAGCAACGACAATTTCGGATGGATAGCATTCCTGCCGCGTTTAAGGATGATTAATACTATTTTTAACAGTCATTCCCTGAAACTTTTTCCCAACTCCCAAGGGCACAAGTTACCCATGGACATTTCTTTTTTTTTGGTGTCTTGGCTGCTGTAGGTGCCTAACAAACTGTTAGTGTTTCAAGGAAGGAGAATGGTTTTCTATTATAGTATTTCTGATGAGGGAGCATAAAGCGAGCTGACAGGCCGCCAACACCCTCCCCCCAACTCCTAGATGGGATATGTGTGATATTCCTCCAGCACTCCTGGCTGCCCAAGAACAAAGGAAAGCGGAAAACTAAGGTTAACTGATAGAGATCATAGTCCTGCAGGACCTAAGTCTCCATCACCCCTCCACAGTGATGTGGGAAACAAAGGCAGAAGGAAATGGCAGATAGAACTCAATCTCCTTATAACCTGCAGCCCATTGACAAATACTTGAGGCTGGCAGAGTAAAATGTTTCTCCAGGAATTCCTTACTGTCTTAATATTAATGCTTTGCTAGAGGGAAGAACCACCTTAGCTTGACAATAGCTAGGCCTCCACTATCCTGGGAGTCTTCTGTAGCATATGAAAATCTCACTGGAAACTTCCCCTGGACTTTACCTCCTCCAACCCCATAGTATATAACCAGTCTCTCCTCACGGTCCCTGGGCAGCTCTTCCTGCCCATGGGTCCTGTCCCCGTGCTTCAATAAAATCACCTTTTTGCACCAAAGACACCTTCAAGAATTCTTTCTTGGTTGTCGGCTCCAGACCCCATGAACCCCACTATCACCCCAAAAAAACCCTCATCATTTTACACACACCAAAATGCCCTCCAGCCCTCTGTTACCATTTGGAGATCGTCAATCCTGGTATTAACTCCAGAAGCCATTTCCTTTCTCTCCTGTGGTGTCTCAGGACAGGGATAGAGTGAGGCCCGGAACCTGGAACATACAGACACAACCTGACAAACATCGAAGTTTCTTAACCTATCCAATTTAAATAACCTCAGAAAGTAATCTTAATGTACTAGAAGGACCAAAACAGGATTAGTTCAGAGTGGTGCCCTGATCATGAATAACTAGGAAGTGTCCTATAGATAGAGCAGTAACATTTGAACAATCTCGACATTCTCTGCAGCTACTAAATTTCCTTGGATTAAAATTATAAAACTCAGTAATACAAATCATATTATAAGTTACTAGAGAAAAATGGCATGGAAAAGAGATCTTATAGGCAGAATTTCAGAAAAGTTTACAGGCGCAATACCTATGGCACACTGCTGGGTACACAAACCCATTGTCCTAGAACAATGCAGCATTTATAAACCATGAGTCCTAATTACTTTCTTTCCAAAGAAAGGAAATTGTGTTTTTGACAGTACTTTTAAAAATGAACTGAGACCATTTCTAATTATTTAAAATAGCCCTAACATTATTAGAAGATATATGTATTGCATTAAGGTAGACTAAAAGGGCTATTGTTTCATTATTCTGTATCCTAAGGCTTAACAGTCAAGGCATTCTGATTGCACCCTCAGGGAGGCACATTTCTCTTACCCTTCACAGATTTTCTTGACTCTGTTTTTCAGCTGATCGCCTTGGAAGAAAATGATGAATACAGATTTGTGCACGTAGTCACCCTGGGCCCCAAACCAGAAACAGAGAATTTAGACTTCTACTCTGGAAGAATATTTCTTGAATAACCTACTTTCTTGGTGATATAGGAATGGGAGTCCTTTAAGGATACGGCAACCCTGCACTCGAACTATTATCCTCCATCCATTTCTTAAGCTCCACTATAAGAACATTTGTCCTATAATCCGTAATGCACAAAAAATTTTCTGTATTTGTTTTTAAACTCAACCGTGAGCTGAACACAGATGCTCAGATGATTCTCCTCGTAGCACAATATAGCCCTTATTACCAATTCAACTTCAAACCTTATACTACCTGAGTAAGTACGGAAGAGAGGAGAGGAAGCCATTCCTGCTTATTCCCATGCTTAGAAATTCCCAGATAAAGGGGACTGAGTAACTCTAAGGAACAGAGGTGGGAAGAATGTTGATGTAGAATCTCATGCTTCATGCTAAGTTTGATCTAAGGAGCAGGGAGGAAGGCAATCTATTCCAAATACCAAGTTTACACGCAAAGTCTGATGCAAGGACTGCAGGGAAAGATCAGAAAAATAAGCTTAACTGGGTGTTAACTAGTATTGTCTCTAGTTGCCTGTATTTCTCATATTCCTAGAGTTTTTATAATAAAAGGCAAACAGACTTCAGAAGGATAAAAGGAGATGCGGCGTGAAGACAATGACGCTACGTGTCTTAAATTCCTTCATTCTCCAGGAATAAACTGGAGCGCATTCTTTGTGCAGCTGCTCTGCTGTAGCTAGCCAGACCCCCTTTCCTCAATTTGTTGATAATAGTGTTTCTGTTGCCCAGAAACTTGGCTGAAGATTCCTGAGAACAGTTCCACAGGAGGTGTGACTGCAGACTGCAATGTCTCCACAAGCCAAGCACAGGCTTCAGTGAGTCTGTAAAACTGCTCCTCTGGGGGGCTCGCTGTACCCTAAGTGCCACCACCCTCCTGTTTAGGAGGATAAAAGGATGAAAGCCTCAGATTTTCAGCTGCACGACCCACCCACTCTGAGGAGTCACAAATTCAATCTCTCTTCTTAGGTGGGACAAAGAATGGTAATCTAAGAAAATCCAAAAGATCATTTTCAACAGACAAACCAAGCCCAGGCTTCTAAATAATACCGATACAAAAGGGAAGTAATTTTTTTTTTTTTTTTTTTTTTTTTTTGCAATACATTTAATCTTCCTTGCTTGTGATCCTTGACATCAGGACTCACGATACTTAGTGTAGGCTGATGTTAAGAACTCTGGCCCGTTATGTCAAATGCCAAGAGATTCAGCCATTCCTACTCTGCAAAGCACTGGGTGGGGAAGATTATTCTACCTTGTACAATATATTATCCTTAAATTAAGTTTCCAAATCTCCCAACAAACAAGTAGACAAAAAAACCTTACCAACTAAAAATTTTATCAACTTATCGAGCTCACAGTTGAGGAACTCTCTCCTTATATGGATATTACCGAACTTGGAACCAGATATCTTGCTTTAATTTTCATAAAGTTGATTTTCTTTTGGTCTCAGATAAGTAACAGAAAGCATATAAAGCTGAGGTTTGGGGCGCCTGGGTGGCTCAGTCGGTTAAGCGTCCGACTTCAGCTCGGGTCATGATCTCACAGTCCATGAGTTCAAGCCCTGCGTCGGGCTCTGTGCTAACAGCTCAGAGCCTAGAGTCTGCTTTGGATTCTGTGTCTCTCTCTCTCTCTCTGCCCTTCCCCTGCTCATGCTCTGTCTCTCTCTGTCTCAAAAATAAATAAAAACATTAAAAAAAATTTTTTTTTAAATAAAGCTGAGGTTTAAGATAACTGGAAAAAAACACATTTATAATCCAAATAATACCTACACAAGTGGGGCTTGAAAATGTCCAGGCACGTGTCAGTATACATCATCTGTACACACACGATGGGAGTTAAGAGGAAAAGAGCAGTATTTCAAATGTGCAAGTCAAAGCAGGAGTAAACATAAGGGCTCCTCTGTGGGAGTGTCAGATTCAGGTGGTACCATGCAGTGTCACTGCTCTGGGCTCCCTTTATAAGACCTACTCCACGGGACACAATTTCCTAGTCTTACAGTCACAGGATCCTCCAGGGGGTTCTCGATTTCAGCCTGTCGCAGGAACACATTCCCCCGGCACACCCGCCAAAGCATGCGCTCAAAAGTAGGGATGCGCTCCCGGTTAATCACACCAGCCACGAAGCTGTGGGGAGAAGAGGCAGATGGGGAACTCGATTCCATGCCACGGGACAGAGGGCTTTAAGACAAAGAAGGGAAGCGAGAGGAGAGGGGCACGAACGACAAACACAAGGCTATGCAATGTTACGCCAAAAGGGCTCCCAAAGTCTTATTCCCGGACCCCAGAATAGGGTTGACAGGACAAATCAGGAACTGAATCCAAGTGACTTAGGAACACCTCTCAAGAGGCTCAGAAGAGAACACATCCTGGAAGCAACTGAAAGGGCCAGCCTCACCACTCTTGAACAGCAACAATGAACATGACCGCTGCTCCCCGTCCCCCCCCAAAATGAACTGACCCCACTGACATACGGAGGCTTGCAGTAGTACTTACCCAAGTCTTAACGGTGTGCCCCTTCCCATCTCACTTGGCTCCAAGAGGGACGAGGACTCTTCCAACAAGTCTGGATCCGCCATCTGCTGATGATGCAATTCAGCCTGAATTCACAAATCAATTAATATCTAATGAAAATAGTTAGTGGCATGCAGGGAACGAGGAACCGGGAGATAAGTTCAGAAAATAAAGACGAGGGAAAAAAAAAAAAAACCACCAAAAGAGAAGACAGCCACAAAAAGAAGACAAGAATAGGGGAAGAAAACAAAGGAAAGAAACAAGAGGTAAAGAAAGCTTTGTAGCCCCAGTAAAGGCATCTGGGGAAATGGTTTTTGAAATAAGGAATAAAGAAAAAAACACTAAATAATGATGACATGTATAAATCTGTTACTTAGGTGGAAACCATTTTTCCTCTGTTTCCCTGAATAAGCCATGAAAGTACCAGGAAATACCTTTGCATACGGATGGAAGCTGCAACGTTTCTTCATTTTCAGCAAGACCAAAGCAGCTCTGAAGATACTCTCAACATCAAATTTCCAGGTAGCTACAAACTAAAATTTTCCCTGTGTGAGAATGTGAAAGATGGAGACTCTCTTTCCAAGGAGAAAAGCAAGGCACCGCCACTGTCCTGAGCACAGTGTGGACTGGAGAAAGGCGGAAGGGGCGTCTCCACGAGACTGGGTTTTCCATGCTCTTCAAAATTCAGAACATGAAAACTTTCAGCATGGCCACTGTAAAACAAATGCTCCAAGCCATGGGCTTTAAAGAGTATTTCTTTCGGGGCGCCTGGGTGGCTCAGTTGGACGAGTGTCCGACTCTTGATTTCAGCTCAAGTCATGATCCCAGAGAGGTGGGATCAAGCTCCGTGTCTTAAGCATACTCATGGAGCCTGCTTAAGATCCTCTCTCTCCCTGTGCCCCTCTCCCCTAGTATTTCTTTCTCCAAAAGAAGCAGCGGCATATTGGCTGGGCAGGCCTGGCCTTGACTGCATCAATAAAGGGAAGAAAAAGTGAAAACCTATCTGAATGCCTTCATTTCTAACCAGGAATCTAGGAATATTAAAAAGTTCATGTTAGGCTATATAGTTTAAGGGTCACTGAGAACATAGCTGAAGCCAGGAATCTAAATCAAGTGAGAAAAAGTAACCAATCATAAGCCAATATAGAACATGTGGGCTAATTTAATTGTTTAGATTTAAAATGATTTCCACCATGACAGTTTATACAATGAAATGAAGGAGGAGAGGGACCTTCTCAGATGGAGGTCTATACTTCCTAGACTCTCTCTATCCACCACATTCTAACACCTTTTATTCTTACCAATCAGGAAGGTCTGAGAAGCTCTCTAAAAAATAAAGGCCAATCAACTTCTCTACCGCCTGATCTCCTCAACTTTAATATCCACGCGCTAGTTGTTTGACCAAAGATAAGAAATATGCCAGAAAAATCTTCCTTTTCAAAAGCAGAACTAAACAAAAAAATCAGGAGAATTTTTCTCTATCATCTTCATTCCAAACATTCTATTCCTGTTAACCCTGCGATCAAAAAATTGATCAAGGGAACCTCACTTGGTAAGTCTTAGGAAATGTAAAGTTAAGGGGGGTGGGGGAGGGCTTTAGGATTGAGTATAAATAAACCTGAATATAAACCAAATGATTAGGTTGAGAACCTAAAAAAGAGAAAGCAATTTTCTGGGGAAGTGAAATCTAAAAGTTGATGCAGGATCAACATTCAACTCCCCACCCCCTTCAAAAAAAAGAAAGAAAGAAAAGGTAGGGCAGGCTTTGAGTATGCCAGAGGGCAGAGAAATATTGTCATGATATACGAAAAAGTTTAAGATGAGATAATGGGGGCACAGGTTTCCACTTGCTCTCAAGTGGAAATTTAGGGGGCTTTTTTTGTTTCTGCCTAATATCAGATCAGCTTATTGCAAGCCACAGGCAACTTATTTTAAGGATCTAGATGACTACCTCATTTCAACTGGTTCTTGGGATGTCCCTTGGCAAAAAACAGTGAAACTGACTGCTACACACAAGACTCCGGCCTACTTCCCTACGCGGTTCACAAGGCCTGGCTAAAGTAAACCCAAAAGATCAGACTCAGTGCAAGCCTATGTGCTCTAAAGGGGACAACCGCTCTAACAGCAAAAAGTGCTGAGCAACTAGACTCCTCTGAAAACTGCATCTGGGGACTCTGGGCACAAAAAGAACCCAGCGGAATTAAAATTAAATGGAAACTTGTGATGATATTCTAATTAATAATCTCACCACTTCATACTTAAGAATCCTAAATCTTAGAGAGGGGAGTAAAAAAAAAATTTTTTTTTAATAAAATAATTGGGCCTCATGGGGAACTAGGAGGACCAGACCGCTCACTGAGGGCCTTTAACACAATCTCTAAAACCACACTGTGGGGTACCTAAATCCTATTCTGGGCTCCCTAATAACAATAACAACACTGCCAACGTGCCTTTAAATGACTTGCTATGCTCCCTGGTTTACCCTTTCCCCCAGTCGGAACACTGAAACCATGCCCTGAAAGAGGAAGTGGCAGAATTTCTGAGGCTCCCTGTCTACACTGAAATAGAAGTAGCATATCCGGATCCAGCTGCATTAATTACCAAGAGCAAACACTCTTACTTCCATCTCCAGTGAGAGAGAAATCGCATTTCATCACTTCCGGTATTCACCCAAGCCCCAAAGGAGAAGGCAGATGGGAAAGAAAAGTAAAGAAGAGCAGATGGATAGAAGACTCAGGAGGAAAGGAAGGCAGGAACCTGCATGCCATTAACCATTACTTTTCCAGTCTTCTTTACGTTCTCATGGGCTAGGGTGCTTATGGTAAAAGATGCAGAGAGCACTCTTCAGCTCTCACAGTTCTTCATAAGCAAGAAGACTGAGAAAAGGATAATCATTAACAAGTCATTTTAATTGCTCTGGATGAGAAATGGCTAAGTCGAATTTGTAATCATCTTAAATCATAAGAATATCGAATTTACGCTTACTCTTTCCCTTCCAGATGCCTTGCCAATCATGACCGCTATGCCTAAAGACGGAAAGAACCCTTTCCCGATTTGGCCATTTTCTGCTAACTCATTATTATAAATTATTGATCATGTTCACCAAATTATATAAAAAAGAAGGACTCAAAACTGGTTGTATTTTAGGCCGTTTGCAAACTGTGATTTCAGGCATGGAAGAAAATCTCACACAAAAAGTGCCATTTCTGAGATTTGAGGGTCCCATGTTTCTTTTTCTTTTGCACTATTTAACGTGCGCACTCACATGCCCAGATGCACTTACTCTATGAGGTCTTATCATCTGCCATGGCAGCGACAGCTGAGACTGGTGCTTGGCAATAGCAGGGCAGGCACCATTGAGAGGGACCTGGCTGAACCTCTGAGCCAGTGGCAGGAGCAGGCAAGGCACTGACCGTGCACTCGGAGAGGAAAGGCCGAGTGGCTCTTGCCAGAAGCCTCCCTACACTACGGTGAGGGTGTAGGAACAAGAGGGGTTGAGGACAAGAGCAGTCAAAGAACCTCTTACAGCCCAGGACTTGGGCCTAAAAGTACTCAGAGATTAAAAAAAAAAAAAAAAAAAAAAAAAAAAAAAAAAAAAAAAAAAAAAGAAATGTTTTGCAAATGTTTTGCGTGAATAAAGGGAAAACAACTCACCATGGATTGACTGGGCATGAAGGTCGTAAAGACTTCCAGCCTGCCTTCTCAGCATGGGGGTTTCGTGTTTAGACTTATTACTCACAAAGAACTTCTGATTTTAACACTTTGGTTATCTTTCCAAGTAATTTCTCTTATTTTGTTTTAATATTTTGTTTTTAATAACATTAATAGTTCAAGTAACAGGGCACCTCGGTGGCTCAGTTGGTTAAGCGTCCAAATGTTCCTCAGGTCGCAATCTCAAGGTTTGTGAGTTCGAGCCCAGCATCAGGCTCTCTGATGTCAGTGCGGAGCCCGCTTCGGATCCTCTGTCTCCTCTCTCTGCCCCTCCCCCACTCGTGTGCATGTGCGCACACTCTCTCTCAAAAAAGAAATAAACATTAAAAAAAAACAGTTCAAGTAACTATTGCTCATAAGGGAGTCCATCTGTCAGTCTTTATTCAGAATTTCTCCAGAATGAACTAGACAAAGAAGCCTATTCTATTCCTTAAACTCAGGAGGTTAAGAAAGACATTGTCATACATTTCAGCAACATCCCAGCAATAAACTAAGACTATATCAAAAGGGAAAGGGGGGGGGGGGGCAAAAGAATTAAGCCCCAAATGATGTTAAAAGTACCTGAGCTTCGATTCTGAGGCCAGTTTAAATTGGATCTGTGAGAGAGCAGCTTGGACGCATTTAGGAAAGCACACATCTGTGAGCCTATGGAGACACTGTGCCCTGGGATGTTTTCTGATATGACTAAGTGATACATTCCTTGAGCACAGGGGCCATGCCTTACTCATCTTGTGCCTCACGAAGAGTAGGTGCTCACTAAATGCTCAGTGAATTAGTGAATATAAATACACTGATGTTTAGGCAATGAGCAACTAGAATTCCAGATTATCTGTTCATTAAAACCATGAGACATAAGTGGCCATGCCTGTTGCAAAAGACCTGAAACACTTGGAAAGAGTTAATCACACTGTCCCACAACCTCTAATTCGATGAGATATCAGGGACTGGTGAAAGAAGTCCTCATCAGTCTCAAAATTCTCAACTCAGTGAGCAAGCCGAATATTCACACCAAACCTCTCTTGACATATAGCCAGATTCTGATTCTTGGGATGACCAGGCAATTAAGTTCATATGAGCTTTTTCCCCTTTCCCCAATAGATTTTTTTTAATTAGCATGGCTTCTCTGAGTCCATCTTCAGTTATTGAGGAATGTAGCACATCTTCGGCTGACGTTCTCCAGCCCAGGGGTTCACAAACCACTGTCCCTCAGAGTCACCTTGTGAAAACAGACTGCTCGGCCCCACCCTCAGAGTTTCTAATTCACAAAGTCTGAAATCTGGAGTGGGGACTAATGATGTGCATCCTGACAAGTTCCCAGGTGAGGCTCATGCTGCTGGTTAGAGAGCCCCTGCTCCAGTCCTTAAAAGACCGATATTAAATGGAACTGAGAATACATCAGATGCTAACTAAAATGGGCCCTCTTTTTTTAAAAAGCTTTGCCAATTTTTTTGTTGTTGTTGAGCAAAGAATATAAAGAACTTTATGGAAGGCACACTAAAGAGTCGCTGGAACAGTAGCAGAAGTGTCTGATATTGCTAATCTGGTGGCAAAGACACCTTACTGTAAAAAAAAGAGAATTCTCGATACCTTAGGCCATCAACAAAGCCAAGTCCAGGCTCAAAGCTAAGACTCCTCTCCACGTTTAATGAGGAGAAGGAATCCTGAAGGTCTTGCTCTAAAGCCTTCCTGTGGGCTCACCTCAGCAAACTGTCATCTGTCATCATCACCTACATTTTTAACCTAGAAACTGACTTAACATTTTTCCCTATAAGGTAGTGTGACTGAGTTTCCATGAAAATCCGGGAATTTCAAAATAGGCATCCTACCAGTTCTATTTCCATAGAACATAACGAGAAACTCTTGAAAAATTAAAGTGTGACTTGTGCTATGTGGATTGTTACAAATGTACTCATGGTAGATAAGCAAACATGGAGAATAAGATAAAAATAAAAATTTGATGATAAAAGTTTTGGAGGTTAAGCCTTTGTTATAATTTCATGTATGACTGAATGTTTCTTGTTGCTTCAACTTTTACCTTAAGCATTTACTTACCTCAAAATATAATGACAAAATTTCAACTATAATATATACAACTACTTTCGGGTTCCTTTCCCCATCTTGTGATGAAAAATTGCAGAAAATGCAAAAGCATACAAAACCATGACTGGCTGTGTACTGCATGAGAAATGGAACATAATCTGACATTCCTTCAACTAAAACAGTGCGAAAATGGTATTGCTTTCAAACTAGCAAATTAAAATAATTTTTGGAATAACAGCATGGCGCACTTGTGCAGGTATAATATCAGCTGCTCAAATACTAAAAGAAACAATAGTCTGACCTCATCAAAAAACTGCTGAGTTTTGCGAAGTATAAATTTTAATTCAGTCAGTTCCAGGAAGTTTCTCTTCAGAGCTTCCTGGTTTGTGTTGATTTCCTTCAGTTCATTTTCAATCTTTTCAAAATTGGCCTACAGAAAAAATAAGTAAATAAATAAATAAAATCAAACTATTAACTCAAACTAAGCTCAATATGCTTGATGTGAAAGATGGATGAATTCATCCATCCCACAGAACTCTTGGCCACCCTGATGGTTCAAACATAATTTTATATCTACCCAGCAAATGTGTGATTTTACCAGGGCAATTTTCTTTATGAAATTTTTTTGCTTAACATCATCTGTCTTTATAGGTTCTATTACACAGTTGAATTTCTCAGGGGACTCTGGATGGAAAAAAATAAATACTGAAAACTCTACTGGTTATTCATTTAGTCTATGAGATGAATAAATTACTAGATAAATTGGTGTTAATCCAATAAGGTTTTGATAAGGCAGTAAACATTTATTTGGTGGCATGTGATACTGTTCAAGATAGTGCTCTACAGTAAGTTTTCACAAGATATTTACAAGCAAGAGACAATGTGGACAAGGACAGCAAGAATTCCTCTACTGTCCACCCACACAGGAAAATAATTTCTGCACTTAAGTAGAAAGAAACTTCTGGCTTCCTCAGAAGAATTGTTTACCTCTAAGTCAATCATGTCCCGGGGGAAGGGCACCTCTGGGTTTTCACCAGTGTCCATAATTGGGATATTAGCTTTTCTTATTTCTTTCTCAACAAATCCTAAAATGACAGAAGCAAAATATTCATGTATAGCATAGGCCTGGAATTGCCAGTATTTGAGAAAAAAAATAAGACCCCAAACCTGGCTAAAAAGAGTTTCATTCCCAGAAAGATACTCTCATATAAAAGAAGCAGAACATGTAAATCCTTTTTTTCTCCACGTTCCTCTTCCTCCACTGCACACTCTATAACAACCGCAGCTACCCCAGAGAGGATCATCATCCCACTACTGTCTTCCTTTCCTCTTTTGATCTTAAAACTAGACCTCATCTGCTTCAGTTCTCCACCCTGTGCAACTACTGCCCCAGAGTATGATGGTTCTGCTTGTAGATACTGTTGTAGGACAGAGTTACAGAACAGGGTGATTCAATAGAATATTTGACATTTAGCAAACTCGTGAGACAACTCCAGATCAAAAGGGTTTCATTAAACTTGAAAAACAATCAGATCAGTTTTAACAACACAAAAACCCAAAAAGCACGACACGGAATAAGGTCCCAAAATACCAGAAGAGAAAAGTGACAACTAGTAACTTTTTTAGCGCAGGGACCAAATTCACCAATCAGCTAACTAAAAGCTGGCATAGTATAGTAGTGAGATCACGGGTTTCAGAGCCAGAGAGAACAACCTGGATTCAAATACTGGTTCCAGTACAGCTGCTTATGTTCCCGGGCAAGTCACTTAACCTCTCTGATCTTTGGTTTCCCCGTTTATTTATTTATTTAATACTTATTTTTTAAGTAATCTCTACACCCCATGTGGGGCTCAAACTCACCACCCTGAGATCAAGAGTCAGATGCTCTACTGACTGAGCCAACCAGGCATCCTGGCTTCCTAATTTATTAAATGAGGTAATACCCAACTGAAGGAATATTGTAAGGAATGAATGAAATAAAGTTTATGTACTCCCCAACTCTCAACAGTACCCTAATAAATGTGTTAGTTTCTTCCTTCATAAAAAGCTCAAATTAAAAGGTGGTTATATTGATATCTAAAATAGATGGTGGGCGCCTGGGTGGCTCAGTCGGTGGGATGTGCGACTCCTGATCTCAGGGTTGTGGGTTTAAGCCCACACTGCTTAAAAATAAAATCTTTAAAAATTATAATAAATAAATAATATTTTTAAATTAAAAACATATAAAATAAAATAAAAATAGTGGTCTGAGTCCTGTCTCTCAGAATTCTATAATGCAATAGTTATAGCAGTAGCTGTAAAAACCCTTCCCATAAAAAATAACCAATGTGTTCAGCTTGCAATCTTGTCATCTCAAAGTTTCCATTAAACACCACCTAGCCCTAATACCATAAAATCTACTTGTACGTGAGAAATTCATCTTACTATCAAGATCCCAAGACTATTCCTCCTTTCTTTTTCTCCTGTAGTATTTTCTCGTTTTATTAAGAGGACTAGCATCTCTAATTTAAGACAAATGACTCATTATAGCAACACCATACAGGACCAAAATGCACATACGAAGCTTTCGATCCATTTCTTCACATCTTCTAACTTCATTCACAAATTTCCGCTGGAAAACATTCACATCTGGATTTAACTGCAAAATAAGAACACAATACCAAATATTTAAAACAAATTTTTTTAAGGTTTATTTATCTTTGAGAGAGAGAGAGAGAGAGAGAGAGAGAGCGCGCGCACACACATGCACGCTAGCGGGGGAGGGGCAGAGAGAGAGGGAGACATAATCTGAAGAAGGCTTCAGGCTCTGAGCTGTCAGCACAGAGCCAAATATGGGGCTCAAACTCACAAACTGTGAGATCATGCCCTGAGCCTAAGTGGGACACTTAACCAACTGAGCTACCCAGGTGCTCCCCAAATATTTAAATACTGCATCTATTTCCTCTGTGTCACAAGCAACACATTCTGCAAAGTGAAACCTAATTTTGTGTCAGTGTATGATGCAATCATACGATGCAAAAATGGTCTACTGTCCTATATAACCTGCTTCAGGGCCAATCACACCAACTGAAGATAAAAACCCCTCTCTCACTGTGGCACCACATTATTGGAATGGAGGCAAATTAGACAAAGCACCAAGGTACAAGATGGTCCTCCCAGGCCAAAGTCTCAGTGAGCTCCCCCAGCCAAAAACTTGAGCAATGATGTATACCAGAAGCTCTGCCCAGTTTTCCTTCTCTTCCTCCCAATCAGAAGAGACAAAAGGCAAACATCTTTTATTCTTCTGTCCCAGGATCTTCACTTCCTACCAGACAGGCTGGTTTATTCATTCATACATCACAAGTAATTTTCAAAGCAATGTGACAGATATTCTGGGAAATACAAACAAGGTCCTACTTACTAAGAAGCTTGAAATCTAGTAAAGAAAAAAAATACACACAACCAACAAGAGCATGTGATAAATTCCATAAAAGTAGTACCAATAAAGAACTATAGCTACTCACTCAACATTTATGGAGCACCATATATACACTACTGTATTAGGCACTGTTATAAGTACAAAAGGATATGTCCAAGCTTTGAGGAGCTATCAGATCCATGGACGAGACAGACACAAACTAATAAATGCAATTTGTTGTGATAAATGCTACTTTAAAAAAGTAAATATTGTTGTCAGTTTCTTATACAATTAAACATATCCCTAGGTACATCACAACTAAGCATTCCACTACTAGATATTTGTTTAAGAGAAATGAAAACATGTCTATAGAGACTCGTACAAGAATGTTTACAGCATGGCACAAGAACAGACACTCAGATCAATGGAACAGAATAACCCAGAAATGGACCCACAACGTATGGCCAACCAATCTTTGACAAAGCAGGAAAGAATATCCGATTGAATAGACAGTATCTTCACCAAGTGGTGCTGGGAAAACTGGACAGTGACGTGCAGAAGAATGAACCTGGACCACTTTCTTACACAATACACAAAAATAAACTCAAAATGGATGAAAGACCTAAATGTAAGACAGGAAGCCATCAAAATCCTTGAGGAGAAAGCAGGCAAAAATCTCTTTCATCTTGGCCGCAGAAACTTCTTATTCAACATGTCTCTGGAGGTAAGGGAAACAAAAAGCAAAAATGAACTACTGGGACCTCATCAAAATAAAAAGGTCCTGCACAGCGAAGGAAACAATCAGCAAAACTAAAAGGCAACCGACAGAATGGGAGA